GTGGAAGTATGTTCTCATGCTTGAATAGAGAGTTGGGGTTCTAAGGTATATTTCAAAACGGGCCTTTGAATTGCATGACTCCGGGCCGTGTGGAGAGTTGACAATCCTCCATATCGTGGTTAAGGAAATGAATCGACTCGGCCTTTGATTGATTTTTTCTATTCTTAAGTGCGTAAGTTACGTAATATATTGTCTACGTGCCTATTATACGTGTAATGTTTGATTTGTGTTCGTTCTCTTTTTCATTTTGTTTCGGGTTCTTGGTGGTGTTTTTTTGGGTTTACTTTAGTTGGAGAAGTTGATTATCTTTTGAGCTTGTTTCCCCCCATTTAATCAAAAAACCAAAAAATAAGAAAATATAAAAAACCAAAAAATATTTACTTTTTATTCAAACCCCCCCTTTGTGTTTAAGTTATATTATAAGTTCTTTGTTTATATAAGTTATATTTATAAGTTTTTAAATTTATTTAGTTATAAGTTTTAATTAAAAGTTTTTTATAAGTCTTATCATATGTGTAGTAGTTAGTTTTATTTTTATATTTATTTTCGTGACAACGTATTCGCATGCTAAAATGGTTTTAAAAAATACAAACTTTCTCCGTGGGATCGACCCTTACTTGCCCTAGCTATAGTTTTTATTTGATTATATCTTGGGGGTTAAAGGATATTTATAATTTTTTAATTTGTTTTGGACCCTACGACAAGTCTCCAACACCACCCCCAAACCAGTGGGCCCCTTCCGACAGGGCGCGCCACTGGTTCGCAAGGGTCCCTTGAGCCGCCTCACGTTCAGGTGGCCGGGATTGGGATTCCGTGCAGCATGGAATCTCTTTGGGAATATTCCCCCTCCTCTGGCTGTGGGGGGGGGGGACGAAGCAATTTCCCAGCCCCAAACGTCCAATATCCTTAATTTTGCAAATTCTGCGGCGGAGAATATTTTTAGGACTCCCTTTGGTCATGGCGACGTTCCTCTCCCCGGAACAAATATCCATCAATCTTTTTTGGAGACGGAGGAGTTGATTCGGTCCTCCAGTTTTGGGAAGGCCACTGTCCCCTCCTCCATCCGTCCCATTGCCATCCCCGGTCCATCAATTCAGGAGACCGGGTCTTCCTCTTCTTCCCAGGTCCGCCACAAGAGGGGCCGGAACTCCACCCCTCTCCCTGGTTCTCTGGTGTCCGCCGGTCCTCCCATGGGGACCGCCGATGATGGGTTTCTCATTGGGCAAGGGGGTCAACACTTTCCTTATGCCCGGGAGGCATATCAATTCATAGGATACACGTCCTGGGTAGGACGGGATTTCAACAACAAGCTTCAAGAAATACAACAGCTCAAGAGGAACCATCCTGGCGTGGTCCACAGCCCGGCCTGGCCATTTATGCAGGAGGAGTACACTCGTATGGTCAGTGTCCTTTCCCTCCTTCACTCTAAGTATTTCACTTACTTCTTTATGCCCTTTAGGACCACTAACTTTTGCTGCCTTCCTCTTTTGACAGGACGATTATGTTGCCACTTCCTCTGCTCAGCGCCATTCCCTTCGCTTATTGGATCGCAATGCTGCTTTATCAAAGGAGCTGAGGGATTTCAAATCTCGGCACTCTATTTGCGTTGAGCGTCCGGAATATGATCGGGTTTTGTCCGAGAACGATCAGCTCCACTCGGACCGTGAGCGGCTTGCGGCCAAAGTCGGGCAACATGATCTAAACCGGATTCACGACCTCAAGGAGATAGAATTCCTGAGGAGGGACTTGGAGCGGCAGGTCAGAGAGCGTGAATTGCAAGTTCGAGAGGAGGCTGAACTTCACCGAAGGAGATCAGAGGAGGAGCTGGAGCGAACGTGGCGTCGTCGATCCGAGGAGGAAGCGAGGAAGGCGGCGGAAGAGGTCAAGCAGAGGTGGCGCCTCCAACATGAAGAAACGGAACGTCAACTTTCTTAACGGGTCAACGAGCTAAACCTGACCCTTATGGAGGAGAGACGTTCAGCTCGGAGTTCCCTTGATGAGGCCCGCTCGCTCGCTCGAGAATGAGCGTCTCACATATGAGGGACATATGGCTCGGATGGAGGCCGATCGCATTTCAGACTATGGCCGGGGTTTCTATCGTGGAGGTTTGGAGGTCCAAGAAAAATTTTATCGTGGACTGGAGCCTTACTCTGATGGACTAGATCCTTGGCTGAAGTTTCCAGGGTCCCAGGACCCATGAGACCAGAGCCTTCTTTCCTTCGTTCCTCTCCCTCACCCTGAATTTTCAAGTCACTATTGTAGTTTGTTTAGGAACGGTCCTCGTGTGCATTTGTATTGATTTTGTCACCTCTTTGGAAGGATCGGTCCTCTTTGTATGCCTCCCTCCTAACTGTATTTTTTACTGTGGGGAATCGATCCCCCCCCCTTTTTTTAAAAAATATCTCATGGGCCGGAACAATTGATGATGAATGGAAAATTTCTTCTTCATATTAAGCACAGTACAATCCATTCTCTTTGAACAAAAGGGAAAAAGAAAACTTTAAAAAAGAGGCTTGAAAAATTATGGGAGGACGGAACCTTGAACATGTAGCTTTTACTGGTAGAATTTTTTGAGATGCTCCACATTCCAGTAATTGTCCAATGCCTTCCCTTCCGATGTAGCCAACTGATAGGTTCCTGTACGCACCACCTTCTCCACACGATACGGTCCTTCCCAATTCTGGGCTAATTTTCCTCCTTTAGTGGGCTGACTTTTCTCCCTTTTACGTAGGACCCAATTTCCTACTTCAAACACCCGAAGTACAACTTTTTTGTCGTGATACCTTTTGGATTGCCGTTGGTACTCCTCCGCCTTTATTGCCGCGTCGTCCCTCCTTTCTTGAGTGAAATGGGAGTCCACTTCCACCAATTGCTCATTGAGGCTTGGAGTGTATGTTTCCACCATTGTGCTAGGGACCAAGACCTCCGTAGGTACCTTTGCCTCAAAGCCATAAGCCAAGGCAAAGGGAGTCTCTCCTGTGGCTCTCCTTGGGGTAGTCCTATGGGCCCACAACACATAGGATAGCTCTTCTACCCAGGACGTGCCCAACTCGTGCAGTCTCTTTTTGATGTCGTCTACAATCATCCTGTTGGTGTTTTCTACTTGCCCATTGCATTGCGGGTAAGCTACGGCGGCCCGACTGAGTTTAATTTTCCACGCATAACAGAATTCCTTGAAACTTGTGCTGACAAATTGGGTGCCATTGTCCGTTATGATTTGCTCAGGAACACCGAATCTGCATAATAAATTTTTCCACACGAACTTACGGCAATTCTCCTTCGTGATCTTCACAAGGGCCTCTGCTTCGACCCACTTGGTGAAGTAATCTATCGCCACAATGGCAAATTTCTTCCTTCCAGCCCCTTGGACGAAAGGACCCACCAAGTCCAACCCCCATCTAGCAAAAGGGATGACTGTAGTGACAGGGGTGTAAAAGGTGGATGGGCGTCCAGAGATTGGTGCAAATGCTTGGCAAGCTGGGCATTTCCTCACCAACTCCAACGCATCCTTCTTCAAGGTGGGCCAATAGAACCCCTGGAGTATCACCTTTCTCGCTAGAGTAAGGGCACCTTGATGGGCAGAACAGACTCCTTGGTGTACTTCTTCCAATATTCTTCTTGCTTCTCTCTCACTCAAGCATTTGAGCATCGGCCCTCCCAAGGTCCTTTTATACAATTTTTCCCCATCCAATTGATATTTGGGAGCCATTAATTGAACTCTGCGGGCCTCCTTGGGGTCAACAGGGAGCTCTCCCTTTTCAAGGTATGTGATTAGGGGGCTCATCCAAGTTGTACCTGGACCGGATATCTCGAGGACAGGGACCGCCTCTTCCCAAACAGGACAGATCCTCTCGTGCTGCCTTACCATACCCTCCATGTGGATGGGAATGGTCCTACATAATTTAGCAAGCATATCCGCCTCTTCATTCTCTTCTCTTGGAACATATATGAGCTCATAAGACTCAAATTGTCCAAG